TTAACACAGTTGAGAGACTCAAACATTCTAAACAGATTGATTACTGGCAATGAAATATTGTGTTTCTTATACAACTGTCAGATCAAATATGTCTCAGTGACATGGAAATCAGCACCTTCACCAAGGCAGGAAAAAAAAAAATTTCAATGGATCTATGGGAAAAATAATGCTTGTGGCTGTTTTTGATATGAAAAGTATTAAAATGGTAGGTTTGTTCACAAGTAGTCCTACATTGACACTTTTAGTAAATTCCATGATACATTATACATGATACATAAGAGATTCGATCATTTTTATCATTTTTAAATCATCGAACTGGTTCAAAAACATTCTTGATTAAAGAAAACTTTTGCTTGCTTTTAAGATGTTTGAATTATTTATTTTGACTAAATAAGTTGTTGCAAGACTGTTAATAAGTGGTATGAATGTTGGATAATGTATATAACTGCAGAAGGTGCTTATTTTGAAGATGGTTGCCTTTAAATATTTGTTATCAATATAACAAATGTTATGTTAAACATTTGGTGTATTCTTTTGATTCTATCATATATTACCAATTAGTATATATTTATTAATTATGAATACAATATAAGAGTGAATCAAAAAAATTACAGATACATTACAATGTAGTTGTAATTTTTTTTGCTAGTGATACCATTATTAGTCATGCTCATGCTGATTAGACTTTGCCACTGTGATATAGGTTTGAATTTGATACTAAGATATTTTATTGTTGTGCTATTAATGATATCTATTTCTTATTCTGATTGTACTTTTTTTTTATTTGTTAATTCTTTCCACTCTGTGGGCACTAAGAGGGCCTCTTTTTAGCAAGCCCATTATGGGTTCAGCCAGGCCCACAATTGGGTGGCCGTGTGGTGAGGGACGGGGTTCGATATATCCAGATGAACCACCCCCTGAAAAATTCCTGGAGATTTTTCAAATTTTTCAACCCATCTGGATTCAATCTCAGATCCCTCAGAGCAGTAGGCTTTCACCTTAATCACACGGTCATTCGGCCGTCATTCTGACTGTACTGAAGAACAATGCATTACAATCTTGTGGGCTGAAGATATTTGAAAAGTCAAAATCCATTGTATGCTTTCAGAGCAATAAGCAGACAATGTTTTGTTTCAGAAGAGTATCTATTTATAGATTGTGCAAATTTTAAAAGTGATTGCAGACATGTCACCATTGATTTTTCAAGGAATAAAAACTGAAGGAAACGATGCATCTGTGGCTTATTTCTCAACCTTTTGGTTTAGAAGTAGGGAACTTTTTAAATTAATTTTAAGTTTTTATTATAATTAAGTTAAGGAATTTAGAAGTTTCAGCAACAATAAAACAATTGCATTGAAAAGTAGGCAAACTGTACTGAAAAAATAATGTTCTTATAATATCACTATTATTATTATTGTTATAAATTTTATAATTGTATTACATGTAATTTTTTATTTACCACTTAATATATCTTCTTAAGTTAAAAAAAATCAATTTTCACTTTTTGAGTGTTTTATTCTACAGACTAAGAAACATATTTAAAAAGAAAAACAGCTTGATTGGTTAAAAATTAAATGAGATATAGTATTTTGAAAATTTAGTTCGTAAAATCATAACTTTTAGAAAAACGTCTTTAAAGTTTTTCTTCAGATTTGCATAAAAAATAATTATAAAGTAATGTTCAAATAAAGAAACTTGGTTACTTTATTATTTACTACTATCCCCTAACAAATGGAAAACTAAAAATTGGCAATTTTGGCCCCTTGATTGCATTTTTTTGCTCTACAGAAAAATGTACATTACTGATTTAAAGCACCTTTTCGTAGATTGCATTACACATAAACACGCACATATAATTAAACATTTCCTATTCATAATTTTCTGAAACTATATTGGACAATTGGAATGTTGTCTAATTTGATAATTATACTATTTGAGCATGGAGAAAAGATTACACAAAAAATCTTGGTTCAAAAATATGTCAGTTAGGTGAAACGTGGTGTTTACAAAGTGAAATGTATTACAGAATACAGAAAAATGTGTAACAAAGACAAATCCAAAAGTATGGAATAATCTTTGTGTGTTGCAATTACAGTAATAATGCATTAATTGAAATATCACATTAGTTACAATTACTGATTTAGTCTGACCTTAACGTTACTTGTCAAGATCAGATCACATCAGCAAACGTTACGGCTGTTAAGTATTACGTACCAATTCTAGTCTGCAAAAATAATGTTTACATCAAATAATATCAACTTGATCACTAGTGAACTCGACAGTTTTTCAAATTATGAAAATGATTTCTCTTACATATGAGTAAGTATAACATACAGAATTTAATCTTTACTTTCAAGTTTGTCTTTGTTAAAAATTTCACAAACTATAACTTTTTTGATTGATTTATTTTAGAAGTTTTAGATCAAAGGTGTGTTTTTTTTGTAATTTAAATACAGTTATGTAATTTTGACACAATACTTCCATTCGAAATTTTAGAGTAGTGCCCATGGCATTCTGAGTGAGGGAAGGCTTGATTTCACTGATTAAAAAGCTCCTCTGAGACTCGCAATATAGTAAAAACTTTTGACTTCATTATATTATTTTGGAGGTTTGTAACACTTCAGACCTTCCTATATATTGATATTAACTTCTGTTGATTTGAATAATAATTTCAGTATGATCTGTTTATGTAATTACAACGTGTCTAGTAAAAATTCATTTACAATTACAATAAAATAATTTAATTTTTTGCAGGCTAAATATGACGCATTACAGCTCAAGAAAAAAGAACCCGTCTTGCCATATTCCAGATTTGAAAAGAATGCACTTTTTAACGATAAAGAGAATAATCATATTCCTTACGTGAATCTGATTTCAGCCGACAAGAAACCGTCGATTCATTCGAATCATTTGCCCGTCTTCCGTCAATTAAACGACACAATGCATCAAGTTTGATAAATGTAACAAAATCAATTCTGTACATAAAAGAAATTAAAGATTTGTAAATAGGTAAAGGGATATAAATTTATTATATAAGAAAAATAAATTAGCTACAGTTTTTTATGCCATCATGTATAGAATTGTACTTATTTAAAAATGTTCACAATTCACATTTACTGCCAATCAAAAAAGAAGAGTTGGTTCTATTGAATATTTAGCTACAAAAAAAAAGAGATATATATTCATGTTATGTACTGTAGATATACAAACAGTTTAGAATTGTCTAAATTTTAAAAGATATGCATTTAATCATTACATACTTATGTATAGTATTTCATGTAAATATTCAATTCATAGTTCAGATTAAATTATTACATAGACATGTAATATCTTCTTTAATGAAAAGTATAGTTATGATTTATTTAAAACTGTAAATTTTTCAATTATAATTTTAATTTAAATAGAAATTTCTTATTTATAAATCCTATATATTTATTGTTAACTTTGACGCTTCTAAATTTAATAGATTGTGAAATGCGTTATTTTAAGACTCTGATGTTTTACAGAGCCTAATATTTAATGCACATTTTAGTTGTAATGCAATTTTAATTTAAAAATATACCTTATATAATAGTATTTATAATTTATTAAATGTAATATTAAGTAATCATTGTTACAAATAAATGAAACATTTAAGGTTTATATATATATAATAGTTGCATATTATTTCAAGGTTAAGTGAAACATTAAAAAGTTTTATATGAAATAATAATAATTGTAAATAACAATTAAAATTTTGTTTATAATAATAATAAAATTTATTGAAATTACATATCAAATAATCATTTAATAAAAGCTTTATAAACTATTAGGAAATAGCGCACAAAATTAATTACAGAAGGTGAACGAGCATTTTCAGTATTAAACTGTAAAAGAATCATTTGTGATGGATTAATTATCATCTTTATCTGTACTTTCTATAGAAAGTGAAATATTAAAACTGCTTGTTGACTAAATTATAAAAGAATTTGCAAATAAAAAAATCCAACAAAGAGCGTAACTTTTCTGCCGTTAAGAGCTTTTCTTTAAAAAATAACTTTATTTATTAATAGTATGATTAATAATATAAAATTGTGTGTGGTGCTATCTGTTATATTGTAATTTTTAAAATTTTTATATCAATAATGATTTTAAAAAGTGGCAAAACACTTAATTTTGAGGGTTCTATTCCTTCTTTTATAACCTATAATTTTGAAAAAAAAAAGATTTAAAAACAAAGACTGTTATTCATAATAATTTAATATTTGTCTTCTGTTTTTTTTTTATAATATATTTTACTTCTTTTCAACCAATAAATAGACAATAAAATCCAGCGACGAGTTGCATAACTTTCACGGCAAAAGAAGCTTATGTAAAGCTAAGATCTCTACCTACCAGCAACAGAACGATTCATTTTCGTTTCCGAAGTGATGTATAGAGAATCGTACCGTTTATTTATACCTTAGACGTGTAATTAATAAAATATGTAACGTTCTGTACCCCATGTCGCTCATTATTCCTTAGTAGACTTAAAATTAAGGACGTCGATCCAGGATATGCGTTGGTACAGTACATGCGACAGCGTTACAGGATACTACCATCTCCTGTATGGACGATCCCCTAAGAGAGTCACATAGATTTTACAAATACGTGTGCCGGGCTGTGAACTGCTCATGTATTTGTGACTCGTACAACACGGAATTCATATAACACGGAATTATCAACAGTGTTATAGGGGAAGTCTACTGTATATCGGTGGAAAAATCAATAGAATTCTCTGTAACTTTATAACGAGTCATTCGTATAAATAACAATAGAACAATAGAAATAACAATTTTCTTAAACTTTATTAATAATAACTTATTACAAGATTTCATAAAAACAATAATAACGAATATGTATAGAAGCTTAGCATTATATTAACATATCAGCATAATTTATTTATTTTTTGATACAATAAAATATATAATACTATTACAAATATATTATAATAAAAATAGCAATTAATTTAATATAAATATTCAAATTCTTCCAGCACCGCTACTTTGACGTCTATGAAGCAAGGAAGCTGAAGCTAAAGTACCGAAAAGTTTACAATTGGAAAAGTCATTATTTAACGGTGGAAGATACAAGATATTTTTTGAATCGGAATCCCAATTCTTCTTCTCTCCTAAATAGGAAATTAAATGATTTTCTAATTTTTTCTTCTCATTTCTATTCTTATCGATTGCGGATTGCATGTTTTCTTGTGAAGCCGCTCTCCTCTTGTACCATCCTTTACAAGGTGTAGGTACCCTTTCTAATACTTTCGGATTAGGAAACATATCGGACGGTGTTATAGGAAATTGTCTAGCTTCACGCGTTAATAAATAAACACACGTATCGTGATTATTTCTAGCAGCTAATTGTACAGCATTCAATCCTTGTTTATTCTTCTCTTGAAGTCCTAAAATTTGTCGATCGTGTCGATAATTGTGTAGGAACGTAAATATTATATCACCGTAACCACGCGATGCTGCGTGCATCAGAGCTGTGTTACCTTCTCCGTCTTGGATCGTAACGTCTGTACGTTTCTAGAAAAGAATATTTATACACTATTAAAGGTATTATCACGATAAAAATTAATTTATAACGTAGATAAAAAGGTTTTAAACGTAATTTGATTACGTGTCTTAATTGTCATCACATAGGGGGGAAAAAACGAAGCCACACCCGTATTAATTAAGAAAATAAGCGAGTAAAAGTATTAGAGAATGAAATTGAAATCCTTCCTCTATTATATAACATTTATGAAACTTTATACGAATAGTGTATATTTTAATGTAACTAAATTTAGATAAATATGTCAATCGATTTAGCCTACATTCGATGTAATCAGACATTTATTAAGGTGTGGTCGTAGCCCGTATTACACCAAACACGTAAACTTTCAACTTGATTTTTAAACGCGTAACTTTAAAATAACGACTCGAAAATATACTTTTAAGTATTTTAAAAAAATTCAATTAAAATGGCGACTTTATAAATAAAATTAATCATTTTTTTTTCTTATCGTACACATTTCTGTAAAGATATTCGATTGAAAAGGGCACTGACATTGCGTGTTTTTCTATAAAAATAAAATAAAAAAAAGAAGTTATAAGCTTGTACTAAACAGGATAAACAATAAGGTTATTGACCAGATGGGTCAGAGCAGCTGACCGGAACAATCATTTACGACCGGACGAGTACTCATTTCTTTTAAAGATTAAATTACAATATATAAATCGATTCGGCTTTAAATATTTTATATTTAAAAATCTTTACGAAGTAATATATATGTGATTACGTACGTTCTAAATAAAGTTTTACACGCGAGAGTTAATAAATATGGTATCTTCCTATTATGTGGCTTAACGATAAAGCATTGGAACAATGAGGTGAAGAGAGCTTTACAGGAACATAATCTCGGAGAAAAGAAGACATTTAAAATAATAATAAATTATCTATTGGGGAGTAACTAATTTTACGACGATATCAATAAAATTTAATTGTAGTTTGGGGAAAATATTGATAAAACTTGATTTCTTTTCTAGGAAGTGTTTCGTCGGTTGGAGAAAGAATTTTTAGGAGAATCAACCATAGATTTGTAAAAGGTGTGGCGACATTTCCGGGAACAATTTTATTACTCTAATTTTTATTCGTATTAAATGATAAAGAATCGAATTATATATATATATATAATATTGAGAAAAATATTAAATAATTTAATACAATTAAAAATTTGATTTTATAATAAACTAGAATGATTTTATTTTTAAAATTTCAAGACCTACTTTATATTCTAGATAAAAATATATATATATAATCGACCTATTGTAATTTATATTACTAATATTTATAATTTAAATACTTAAGAAAGTGTTTTAAATATAGAAAAAATAAATAAATAACTTACATTTTCTATAAGGACGGCAACAATTTCGTTATTTCCGTTGATGACAGCGTACATTAATGCTGTTAGACCGTCCCAATCTTGCATGTTAGGATCGGCTCCTGTATCTATAAACAATTTAACAAACTTCGTACGATTTTTTACGTCGATATTCTGACAGGTTATCATCAAAGGTGTTTGTCCTTTATCATTCCTACCATCGATGTCGACTCCCGTTTCCAATATCAATACAGTTTGACGATAACGACCGTGTTGTATTGCTTCGAATAAAGTAGATAACGTCGAAATATTCCTATCCTTGCATTCTTGGTTGGTCATGTTTTTAACTGTGTCAGTCATATAGCATTTTAAACGTGGATCCACGATTATCTGAACCGAGTAGATCCTTCGATAACACTCATTTAACTTTAAAAAAGAAACACTTTTTCCTAATGTAATTTAATGAAATTTATGCGCTTACTTTCTTGCTAAAAGATGATTTTTTTTCTTGTTTTTTTTTGAAGTTACCTTGTTGATGTCGATCCGTATTATGAGATAACGTAGGACGAAAGGAGTACGTCTACAGTTTGATGATAGACTGAACCTGCGCAAGAATATCGATTATAAATTGTTGAAAGACGGAATCAAATCGTGCGATTCATTCCGACGTCCAAAATTTTCTGAGAAAGTTAGAAAATGTTTCATAGTAACTTGGCATTTATAGACTACTTGTGTGATCGAAGTCGAAGCTGACGTTTTATTAGAGAAAGAACAGCTGTGACACTATAAGATAGCATAAAATGTCGTATAGTTTTATTATCGATTATCTTAAAAACATATCAAAATGGGGCTATGAATCACCATATAAAATTTTAATGTGGTCTCATCTGTATGGAAAGATGATATTGATATCTAGTTACTATATTACTGTGTCATGCAATATATATAAAATGGAAACATGATAAAGAAAATGTAAAATTTAGTTCAAATTGTAAATGAAGTAAAAATATTTCCCATGATCTATTATTTAAATAAATACTGGGTAATGTAATATATTATTTGGTTGTTGTTATTTAAAAAAATCACTATTTGTTTAACTAATTTTATATTGATACATAATCGAGCCTAGTTATTTATTTTTTGACAAATAAATTACTGATGTATGAGCTATATTAAACTTTTAAAAAAATATTTAAATGCAACTTAAGTTATTTTTGATCACAGAACTTTATTCAAATTTCATTATCAGTTTTGATACATTTTCAAGCAAAATAACTTCTTATAACAATAATAAATATCTAATAAAAATAAACAAAATTAAAAGAATGGATTATATCCATTCTGTTTTTAATTTTTTTTTTTTTTGTGCAATTTCACGCTGACATTTTTTGTAATTAGATAAATGTTTGCTTTAGTTTTGTTATGAACGATCATTTTTATAATACTTACTATCGACAGACATATCTATAGAATCTACAACCAAAAACTGACTTTTCCGTAGACATATATTAAATAGAATTCAGATCTCGAAGAGGAGGAAGTTTTACAGAAAAATATCACATAACAAATTGTAGATGCAGGACATTTTGTTTTAGTTAATTACATCAAACAGTTTGATTTTTTACAAATTTGTTTCCAATGTAATAACTATAATTCAGTTTCTCATATAACCACAGATACATTTGCCTGATAAAATTATAATTGTGTACAATAGAGAAGGCTTATTTGTTAGTACTGAAATATATTTCAATCTTTTATTTTGCAGAAAATAATCTATATTTCGTAACTCAAGTGAGATATTTGAAAATATGGAAGCAATTTATTACGACGGACAGTTTGTATAATGCGTACCGTAAATATATCGTGAATATAGTTTATTACTAATATATCACTAAATGTTTCGGAATATTAATTTCGGATGTATAGAAATGCCTAATTTCTATTTTTCATCAAGTTTTCTAGCAGAAATTGGATGGCATTGGAGTAAGAATATATTGCCATGGAAATATGATCATTTGCTAATTGGTACCTTGTATGCATTCATGTTAATTTTCAAATATTTAAAAAGTTCAATTACAATATCAGGCAGCTTTTTCATAAGAAAACAAACACCTTTGGAGAATTGAGTAGGATATTATTATCTAAGAAGGAAATATGGATGGCATGAAAAGATATATTGGCAGTCTTTCAACATTCAAAACTTTTCAAGTCGTAAATACATATATCACCACTAACGGACCAAATATTTAACAAAACAATGCTAGTCCATAAGTTTTACTACTTAAATACAAGTCGGTTTCGTCGAACATTTTCACTATTTTAACATTCAAAACAATCATCACATCATTTCGTTATCTTCTTCTTCGGACATCGAAAAGTTACTGTTGATATTAAAACTCCTCGCGATTCTCATGTCGGCGAACGACTGACTCGGCGGCTGAAGATGGCCATCCGTACCCATATTACCGTCGGAATGAAGGCTTCCGTCGATAAAATTGGGCTTTTTTTCGGATTTATGATTTCGAATCATGCTTCTTTTAACCTTTATGTGTTTACCCTGTAAATTTTTTGAAGGAAGTTTCCTCATTGCTGCTAATAATTTTTCTATTGCGGGAGTATAAGCGGATACTTCTTCCGCTAGAACACATCTGTTGGATAACTGTTCGATCAACTGGTCTTTTTCTCTCAGTAAATGTTCTAACTTTTTAAGTTTCTCGTCACTGTATTCGATTCTTTTCGTCAGTTCGTCGATTTCTAAGTCTTTTATTTCGGCTAATTCTCTCAACTTCGACTGCATCATCTCATCCTTCTTTATTAAAGCTTCGGCTTGATCCTGGACGGTAGTCTCCAGTTCCACAACTCTCTGATGTAAGAGCTGTAAATGATCATTCGCTTCCTTGATACTACTTCTGGTCGGACTTGGGTTAGCTCGAGATGAAAACATCTCTTATTTAAATAGATAAATATATTATAGTTTTAATTTAAGACAGATGAATTGAAAATATACTAACATATTTACATGTAACTGGTCGTTCGACGCCATCTTTAATAAACTTCGAAATTCGAACTCGTGTTAACCGAGCGACCTCTGCCGTATAAAAACACTAACGTTTTCGTTTTAAAATAATTAAATATTTCATTATATCTAAATTTTATTACATTTTATTTATCGAANAAGTAATAATAGGGATATCATATGTAGTAATAATAAGGATATAATGAATAAATGTCAATGCCATCTAATCTAATTTAACCTAACCTAATAACTGCCTTCAAAATCTTTACAAACTTCTTCAGTCCTATCTTAGTGACAGTAGTGCAGGTGTTTATACAACACAACATAACATAGTTATACTCATCACTTGAGGCTGTCCTCGGGGATCCAAGTCTGGTTCTGGTCTGTAGAACAAAGCCTATAACTCTATTCTGCACTTAAACAACACCTGCCTCCTGGCTGCCACGTACAGGGTTATGCGGATGACACAATTATCCTAGCTTCACACAGTAACAGTGAATGCTTACAGGACATATGCAATGACATTCTCAATAACATTCATCAGTGGAGTATTAAGCATAGGCAACCCATTAATACAGACAAATGCGAAAGCATGATAGTTGGTAGGAATGCGCCACTTATCAGGAAGCTTACCCTTCAAATAGGTGCTCACAGAATAAAGCAAACAATGGAAATTAAATATTTAGGTGTTATTAGATGTAACTTCACACCCCACATCAAATACATCACGAACAAAGCTAAAAAGACAGCCAATGCTCTCATTAGTATTGCTAGGAACACATGGGGCCTTGGTCCTAATGCTACTAACATTATTTACAGGGGTGCAATTCAGCCAGCACTCCTCTATGCTGAACAGGTCTGGGGCCACCTGGCCGCCAAAGTCGATAACCGTAAAAACTGTTATCTGTTCAAAGGATTGCAGCTCTCTGCATTTGTAAGGCTTATAGGACCGCACCCACTAGTGCCCTTTTGGTAATGTCAGGGTTGACCCCTATCAACTTAGAAATTAAATGCATTATTTGGCAGGAAAATCTCGTCACCTTACCCTGGCAAGATTACAGTGACTCAGATGTTTACAAAATGATTAGAGTAGATAAGATTCCCCCAGTTTGACCTTGATCGATGATATCAAAAAATTCAGCATTGACAAAAATACCCTCCCGACTTACGATTACCACCCCTCCCACCAGCTTGCCCCTGACATTTACTTCGAAGATCCAGGTGGTCATCCCATGTTTAGGATTTACACTGACGGTTCCAAGATGGGTAACAATGTAATAATTTGAGTTTCATGTAAACTACAAAGGGTGCCGCCTTTGTAGTTTACTTCGACTTAGGCTGTGAACTTCACAATGCTTGTTTCCGTCTAGGTACACACTGCTCAATAGCACAGCAGAAACTTTAGCTATTTATATGAGCTTAATTCACATTAGGTGTAGGAAGGACATAAGACACTACTTACACTATCGCATTTATTCTGACAGTAGGATAACTTTACAGAGGATTGCAAAGTCTGATAGCCGCTTAAAAGTCGTCCATCTCATACACCATATTCTCAGACACCTAAACTAAAGTTTATATAATAATATGATATATCACATTATTATATAAACAAATTTTATGCTCGATAGTTTTAGTTCTTTAGTATATGTGTTGTATTAAAAATTGTAAATACAGTGCACTGTATATGTCAAAAATTCATTTGTATTGGTTTACTATTAGTGTTATAATTATATGTTGGAGCTATGAAATGCATCCTTACCTAAATTTGAAGGTGATTATTAAAGACTAACTTTTTTGTAAAAGATCTAGTCTTTTTTTCTGTCGTCCTTGGTGTGATAAGCCCTCCAAATTGTTAAATCCTATTTATTAAGATATCTAACTCTATCTAAATTAAAGTCGTGGGCTAAAAGCGTCATTTATTATTACAAGTGACATACTGTTCAACTTGCATTTACGACATTTAAAAGAAACATAATCACAATCCTTTTGATAAATTAATTTACTACAACCACCAGAATTCAAACCATCTGCATTTGCATATTGCATATGAAAGTTTATGGCAAACAAAACAACTTATCAATTTTTCTGTCAAAATCAAATTCAGAATAATCCTGTACTAAAAAAATTAATGGAAACCCCTCTATTCCACTTTTTCCAGAAATATTATTGATCTTTTTCAAATTCTGTCATTTTAACAATAAACATCTAAAAATTAAATAAAAACTTTGAAAAAATGATTCATACAGCATTATATAACTTTTTGAAACAAAATAACCGAATTACTTTTAACAAAGCGATAAAATGCTAAGGAATTAATCTAGAACTAAAATGACTTTAGATAGCTTGTAAACTAAAGACAGCAACACCTAGATTAACTTTCAAAGCATGAATATTGTCAAGATTCCAGAAATGCTACCATAGGGGCTATCTAGATGCACTTCTACCAACTTTGCTTTTTACAAAATTAAACAGAATAATTTACATAAACTATTCAAAATCTCCTCTGCAGATAAAAACAAGTAATTCTCAATACTCATAGGGAAACAAGCTCAATTTCCATTTATTCAAAACAAAAAATTTACAATGTTTAAAATAAAAATTTAGTTTCTACCTGTTGGTCTTATCCTTTTGGTGGAAAGTTTAAAATTGGTTGTGAATTTTTTGGCAGATCATATCTCAAAAATGAAACAGATTTTAAAAACTTTTATAGAAGATTTTATGCTTATTTTTCATCCTAGAATCTATCCTAAAATATTGACATGGAGTTTGTTACACCCTGTATATTCAGATATCAATAAAGTGTATTAATGATACAGTATATTAATGAGTAATTATATATAATATATTAATGAATAATTTACACATGTACATGTATGTGTACATATGATATACATATAAAAGAAATAAGCAGTACAACATATTTCTATATATAAATACATTATACAGGATATATACTATATATATGATACTATTTCTTAATGAATGTAATTGTTTAGATTATTTGAAATTTAAAAATTGAAAACAGAATAACAAAATTTTTGTTAAGTTTAGAGTTAATAAAGTTATTTATTTTTCTTTTAGGTAGTTGTAGGTGGAAGAAATAAATATCTCATCAATGGTTGTAATGCAACAAATACTAGAGTTTATGATTTATTTCGTTCAGTTCAGTTAAATGTCAATAATCCTCATTTTTTAATAATGCAAGGAAGAATTACAAAAGTATTAAATATGAAACCTGCTGAGGTAAAAAAATTGCAATTATTTTTTTTTTCTACTTTTTGAACTATGTAATATATTTATTTCTAATTTCTGTAATATTTCAAATATCTAAATAAGATCAAAATAATATAAAAACTGTGGAAAAATAATTTGAGTTTCATGTAGATTTAGAACAATTATATCTCATTATAAAATTAAAACATAACTTTTCAATTCTTAAAGATATACTAAAATACGTGTCATTTTATTTGATTAATCAGATAATAAAATAGTTTTAAGTAAAACTGTAAAAATAAAATATATACAGTCAAATCCCATTATTACAAAATGGAAGAGACTAAAAATTGGCACTTTAAATTAACAAGGTTTTTGTTAAGTAAATTTAACAAAAAAGTTAATGGTGATACGAGCAAAAACCAAATTTTCTCTTTGTTATTTCACTGTATTTTGTTTAAGTATGTTTTAAAGTAAATATAATTAGTTCTTGCTCCAAACACACTTTATTGAGATTCATAGCTTGAATAAAGAATCAAAGCACATTTTTCAATATTGGTTAGAGTTGATAAAATGGTTATTAAAGTAACTGGATATAATAGATTGATATATTTGTCATATTGAATCCAGAAGTGGAATATGTGTAAAAACAAATTTAGAACAAGTAAAATGGTGAAGCCATTTTTGGGACGAGACTATGTCTCAGAGAGTGCGAGCAATGCATGCACAGATCTTGCACTCGCTCCTGTAGAAACGGTCTCGGCATTGCGTATTTTCTTTTGACCCAGTTCTCGGTCCCCTGACTACCTACAAATCTGGTTTATTTTATGAGCACATGATTTGGGCACCAAATACCCTATGCCAAATTGCAACTCCTGACATGTACTCCTTCATACCTTTAAGGTGTACAGCCATTGACAGCAGCATGATTTTAGAGATGAGACTATAACTTATTTGCTTGAATTTCAATGGAATGATTTGTTGTAATTTTAAAATTATGAACTAACTACAGTATTTAATATTGTAATTTAGTTGTTTCATTATTTTCATTATTAAATCAATTAAAAATAAGAACTATTTTATTTGCTGGAAATTTTGAATTTAGGTGTGATTTGTGAAGAACTATTTCATGAAAGTACAGATTTTTAATCAAATATTTCCCAATCTTATTAATTTCCAATTTCAACGCACATGTTAACGGTGTTTTAATCATTCAGCAAGTAGAATACTAATTTCTGTCTATAAGAAAAACTTATTTTTTGAGTTGGAGTGAATTTTGTTAGTTTGGTCTATACTACATTGCTAATAACAATGGTAACATTGACATCATAATCATTGTATCTAACATTAAAGTCAAAAAATATACCCCTTAGTAAGGATGTGGCTTGTGTGGCTTCTGGTAAGCTGGAAAACAATGGTTTTTTTTTTATTAAATTATGAAATATAATTTTTATTAAATTCACAGGCTCTTAGCCTGGTTCATATTACATATAAACCAATATTTTCTATTAACCAAATATGTTAGCATTGAAATGCCTGTCCTCATCCATGAGACTATAGACCTTTGCATTAATATGGAATTTGCATAAACTGATAATGTAATAATAGGGTTTGGCTATATTAAAAATGTTATAAATACATAAATGAATATAGTTTAAATGTTATATTTTTGTGCTTATTATTTATGTTTGTAAATTGTTTGAAACCTGATAATACTTGTATACAAAACCAGCAAATTTAACATAGTCCAGAGAGTGGTGGGGCCAGTTTCTGGTCCTTCACTAACAAAGCCATGTTAAAAGTTAACTTACTATCAATGACTACCACTGGTCCATCTGAAATCAATGTTGTTTACCTACATAAACTTAGTATAAGAGATCTAAAAGTTTATTTTTGAATAGTTTAAGAAGAATTTTTTGTCAGTTTAAGTAATCATTTAGAATACTATTGATCACAATTGTTAGATTGCATCAACTTATCAAGCTCTCTTAATGACAGTTTGTGTATCCTATAAAACTTTATGCTGTTAGTAATTTTTAATAAAATATATTCAATTTCAGAAACTGTGAACATGAATTATAAAATATGTGAACACACATGTAAAGTATTTATCAAGTTAAAAACATAGAAAACAAAAACAAATAAATTTCATATTTGTTTAGGTATTTATGTATAACATTTTTAATATATATTTTATTTTTACATTTTTACAAAATCATTTGATATCTGATTAAATCAAAATGTTTAGATTAATTAATAATATATATTGAGAAATTATTATTTATAATTTAAGAAGTGTAATTATTGAATTAAACTAAGCTGATTTTGTAATATAATATATATTATTTTAAGATATTATCCATGATAGAGGAAGCTGCAGGTACTGGGATGTATGAAAGTAAGAAAATGTCTGCACAAAAAACAATTGAAAAAAAAGATGCAAAACTTAATGAAATTGATAAAGTAAATATTTTCATTAATTATTGATATTTGTCTTCAATAGAATTATGCTTGGTTATTAATAATTTGTAATAAGATTCTTTCAGAGGAAATTACACCAACACTAACTCGATTAAAAGAAGAAAGACAAGCATATATGGAATACACAAAAGTTGTACGAGAACTTCAACATCTTACTAAATTACATGTCGCTTGGCAGTTCATAGGCGCTCAGGTAAATAATGATAAACTGAAAAAATTGGAAAAAGGTAATATGTAATAATTGTTGAAATATCTTTTTATTCAGAATTTATGCAAGAAATCTAATGAGACATTAAAACAAAGTAAAGAAAGAATTAATTCCCATCATCAAGAAATAACAAAAACTAAAGAGAAAATAAAAGAACTTGATAAACAAATTAGAGAATTAGAAAAAAAGAAAGATGAGGTAAGATCAAATAAATATAGATATAAATAAATAAAAATACTAAATTAACATTTTATTTTTAATATTTATGTAGGAAGAGGGTGGTAAATTAGCAGAATTAGAAGATAAATTAAAAGAACATCAAATGACTGAGGCTAAAATTAATAGTGATGTAAAACATTTAAAAGATTGTTTGAAAGAAGAAGAAAAGAAAAGAAAAGAAGTTTTAAACAATCTTGAAGAAGTAAGATATTTACTGAAGAATTTTAAATGAATAATCCTGATTGATAATTTCCTGGAGCCAAAAATTTTTAAGAATAATTATTTAGTAAAAAGAAAATAGAGTCAAATGTACTATGATATGCTTCTTGTCTTAGACTTCTTAATGACTTGTGAGCACTAAGATTGGCCTTCTTTACCGCTAGACTTATTACACTGCCACAGGACCACAAATTAGACTTAAAAAAACCCTGTTTTATTTTCATTTTTTAAATTTTATTTTCACTGAAAATAAAACAGTGATTTTCTAAATCTAATTTGTGGTCCTGTGGCAGTGTAATAAGTCTAGTGGTAAAGTAAGGCCAATCTTAGTGCTCACAAGTCAGAGTCAAATATATCACAATAAATTTTAAAATAATTACACTAATAAACATAACACAGTGGAATTTGGTTAACTCAAATCATTTGGAGAAAAATAATTCAGACTGAGTTAAAAAGTTTTGAGTTATGAAAGTTCAGCTAAAAATCAAGCTTTTTATGCATCATTTTATTAGTGGTTTTTTTTTCATCACAAACCTACTAATATGTATGATGGTTATATTTTTAAAATTTTGCTGGAAAGGTTAAAATTTTTACATAGAATTTGACAATAATTGGTTTTTTAATGAATTTATCAAAAATTATTTATTTATTACATCAGCTAGTCAGAGAAATCCATTAGCAATCAAATAAAATTAAAAAAAAAAGTTTGAAAAATAGGTTTAGATGGTAGTTATAGTATCTTGGTCACATATGCTGTCTGGAAGTCACCACCCCACCGTCACATGACAGGATGTTTATTTTTAGTCATATGTGGTTCCTGTTCTTTATAGAAAGTTTCTGATTAGTGTATTTAGTAGATGAACATTAATTATTTTATTTAAATCAAAATTCTGGAGAGTCTATGAAAATACTGTATCAATAACCTATTCAAATTAAACAGTTTGACAAATTTGAGTTTTTAATGTGTAAATTCGTAAGCTAGACAATTGGGGAAAGAAAATGACTTTGAGTAAATGCAACTTCAAGTTAACCTGGTTACACTATATAACAAAAAATATCAATATAATGACCAACCATAACTTTACTATTGACCTCCACATATTTATAAGATATTTTTGGATTGTTAACATAAATGAAAGTATGTTAACAATCCAAAAATATTTGTAAAATAAGTAATTTGGTAAATTTGAATTACATTTTAAAATTTAAATATTGTTTATGCATCTTGGAACTAATTTTTTATAATAGAACAAATTGTACATAGTAAGGAACCTTGACTCTAAGTTGGGCTGTGAATCTGCCCAAAAACATTTGTCAGTCTATTAAATGTATTTGCTGGAAAAGAAACTTTCCTTGTTGATTAGTGTTAAAAATTTCCAGTTTGAGTTTTCTCAGTTTATTTTAAAATATGCTCAAATGAAATAAATAATTTAAATCTTACAAGTATTAATTTTTTTTTTAATTTAAACTGAAATTAATACTACAGGGATAAAAATAGTTTATGTACAGTTTTCACAGCTGTTTTGCTTACAAAATATATTCAACATTTGTATAATTCTAAATAAATTTTAAAATTAAACTAATTAAATTATAGCTTATAAATATTTGATTAAGTTTTTAAAAATAATCTTGGAGAAATTATATTTACAACTAGAACACATGTAAACTGAAAAACCTTGCAAAAATCTCTAATAAAAGCTGCCTTATTACTTCCAGCAAATTATATTTACAATTTAATAAGTAGTTATTTAATTTGAAAATTTTGACATAACTTTATATTTACGTGGTAACAATGTATTAAATGTCTTTATTATTCTTCATCTTGGTCTATTACAGGATACCAATACTTTAAAAAATAAAGAAAAGGAAATGGAAAAATTACTTACTAAATTTCTGCAATTACAAGAAACTAGTAAGAAAGATGCTGAAGCAGTACAAGCCGCTCAAAAACATTTTCAAGCAGTAAGTGCAGGATTATCTAGTAATGCAGAAGGAGAAGAAGCAACTTTGGCAGATCAGTTAATGAGTATGTAAAATGAAAAAAACTGTTTTTAATTAATACAGTAGTCCCCTGTATTTGCAGTTTCACTTTCCATGGTTTTAGTTATCCACAATAAACTATAATCTGAAAATATTGCAAAGAAAATTACAAAAATAAAAAAATCATATATTTTAAACTGCAGACCATTCTGAATAGCATGATGAAACCTTGCACCATCCCTGCTGGGATGTGGATCATATTTTTTATCGTTTATCCACACTGTACATGCTACTTGTCTCATTAGTCATTTGGTAGCTTGCTTGGTTATCAGATTGTGACTATTACAGTATCATAGTGCTTATGTTTGGGTAACCCTTATTTTACTTAATGATCCTGAATTACAAAAATAGTGATGCTGGGAATTCAGATATGCTGAAGAAATGCTGTAGAGTCTTCCTTTAATATAAAAGTTTTGATTGAGTAAAGAAGGGAAAAACTCATATGCTAAGATTGCAATATACTATATACAGTGGTACCTCAGGATACGAAATTAATCTGTTCCGAAACTGAGATCGTATCATGAAAATGTCGTAAGGTGGATCATCTTTTCCCATACGATTACATGTAAAACCAAATAATTCGTTCCAACGCGAAAAACATACTCAAATTAAAGCCAAGTAATACATTTAAAAAAATAACTGTAGTAAGAAAAACAAATGAAAAATGCGAACTAATGTAACGTCGTATGGTGAGTTTTTGTTCGTATCGTGGAGCAAAAATATGTTCGAATTTCATGTCGTATCCTGAAAATTTCGTATGCTGGGGCGTTCGTAACCTGAGGTACCACTGTACTATAATAAAAGTTACATGATGTGTATTCACAGATATTTTATTATAATATATTGTTATAATTGTTCCATTTTATTATTAGTTATTCTTTTAATCTCTTACTGTACCTAGTTTATAAATTAAACATTTAACAGGTATGTATAGAAAAAAACAGTATATGTTTGGCACTATCTGTGATTTCAGGCATCCACTGAAGATCTAGACCTATGCAAATAAGGAGACTATTGTATTCAAATTTAAGAAATTTTCATTAATTTATTATTTTATGATTTAAATTTATACTATTTTAGAATTCTGATAAGTAATATACAGGTATCTCTTGTATAATGCAGGATTTGATTAACTTGTGAAATTAATTGCTGCAATCCTTTTATATGTAGCAAAAGTTTTAATATATGCAGCTTTAATGGGTGTCTTTACGTAGCATAAATATGTTTTTCTTGGAACATAAGGTGTTAGTGAATTTGCTATTTTTGTTTATTAAAATAAAAATATTTGTTATTAACCAAAAATTTGTTCTAGCAAGTAGTGATTGTTCAGTTGAGTACCAAGGTACCACTGGTTTCATTAATATGATCTTGATGTACGTGGTAGCATCTAGGGATTGATTAATTAACCGTGTTAATCAAGGGATACCTGTAAATATTTATTGAATAACTCCATTTGTATCATTTGTAATTTTTTGTACAGAATAAATTGTATATAATTTTCATTTGATGTACCAGTACAGTAGTACATTAAAGCATCACAATAACATTTTCTATAACAGCACAGTAACACTCCTCTAGCTTACATAAACTGATAAACAATGAGGTAATAGAAAACTAAAAGTGGAAAAAAAATTTTAAGTGACAAAACAAATGGTAAAATTTTAAAAATTTTCAGAGGAATCACTGCTTATACAATTTGTTTCTATGAACAAACTGTAATTTATGCTAAACTTAATTAAATTAATATGTTAGAATAAGAGTGATATGATGATGATAGTCATTGTTGAAATTATTAAAATATTTTATCTTCACCTTAATATGTATAACAGAATCTTTTACCAGAAATGTTTGAGATTGGAAGTTTTTTGGATTTTAGAATATTTATTTGTTTGCATCTGATTAATTGATCAATATTAGTCTGTTTTGAATTTTTTTTATGTCTCTTATGTAGGGAATTTTATTAATTTTTTATAAACCAAATGTTTTCACATGTCTGTATAAATACATTTTTTAAAGGTATCTACAGTAGGGATATGAAAGTATTTAAAGATATTCACATAGAGGGGTTAATTGATCTGTTAGAAAAAACACTATTTGTTTAATTTTAAATGTGTCTATTAACCCTTAACTGGTTTTATGGGGGCCGCGCGGCCCCCACGTGTCATATTTTTACAATTTTCTAAAAATCTAAATATCGTGCGCAGCTGCCATTTTATGTAATCTCATTACGTCGTGACTCTTAGCTAGTGCCAAATGTTCGGCCCTGTAGCACTTACAAGGATGGAGCTACGTACCTTCTGGGGGCCGCGCAGCCCCCACGATACCAGTTACGTTGGTTTTTTGTGGAAATGTGTTTTTATATTTTTTTTATTTTTACAATTATTTAGCAAAGATATCTCAATCTTTCATCAAAAATTCAAAATGACTACCAAAGAATCATTTGAACTGCTAATAGAAGATAATATTATACAAATTGCTAGATCAAGCCGAAATCTCCTGAAAAGAGTATGTTGTCATTTTGTGCTGGAAAAAAAGATGGTAAATATGCTACTAAGTGCAACAGTTGTTTGAAATTTATTTGCAAAGTGCATAGTACTACAAAAATACTATGTGATAACTGTCAAGACTGAACTACGTAATTGCGTTAAAATGATCCTGAGTGTTAAAAATAGAAGTGATTATATTATCTGTGGTTTTTTAACAAATGATAGTTAGAGGCTATAAGAGATACTTTTTTATAAGATTAGTTTCTTAAGAATAAGAAAACAAAATATCTTTGGTAAAAACTTACAATAGGGTAGATTTTTGTATTGTTAAAAAAAGCATACACCAAAAGTTGTAACAATTTTGTGATTTCTTGTAATAATTAAGTAAAGAAAATTATATAAATAAATAAAAGTTGATTATACTAAAGAAGGGTTCCATTTAGCATTTATGCTCTTTTAAACTGTCACATTGTTAAACTTGCTCTCTAAAGGCAAATTTTGCTTGGGGGCTGCGCAGCCCCCATGATACCAGTTATGATTGTAAAATTTACGAAACCAGTTAAGGGTTAAATACATGTTAAAAATTAGGATCAAACTACACTCCAGGAATATTAAAAAAAAACACATAATGTATACTGTAAATCTGCACAGATAAGACAATAGTTGAATAAAAAAAAAGACCCCCAAAATCCGGAGTCATCTTATAGGACAGATTCAAAAAAAAATTAGATTAAAATTTATATAAATTAAATCATTATAAAAAAACCAAAAAACCGTAATTATTTAATAGTAGAAAGTAGGGTATGTCCACAAAATAAAATAGCCCATATGACATTTTTGTGAATAGTCAAGTCATTACCCAAATGCCAGAATCAGTGCAAATGTTTTCAACAATCGCAATGCAGTGCTGCCAGATGCAAGAAAATAAAATTTATAGTTCTTTCAAAAAATTACAAATAGGACGTAATTCCATATACACTATACAGTGTTATTATCCAGATGATGATCGCTGATCTAAACTAAATTCATAGGCCGTTGATAGTTTGGGGGTCGTCTTATAGGACAGATATATGCTAAAACTATAAAACTTTGACAAAAATTTATACCTTGTCTTATCTGAAGGTCTCATCTGCACATATATACAGTATTTCTCATAAAGTTTATTAGCTGGATGGGATACCCAACAAAAGGAACACAGGAGAACACTGGGACATTCCCAGTGCTTTGTGGAATTTTCCATTTGTGCTGTGTCACGTCAGCATTCAAAAAACTTTCAGAATTTTGGATAAAGGCATTTTGACATGTATCTTAAAAATTTATTTAGATTATCAATTTTTCTAATCAAAATTCAAAAAAATAATTCTGAGCAAGAATTTAATTCATTTCTCCAATAGTATTCTGTGCAATAATTGGTTTATGTAACCTATGAAACTTTCAAAAAAGAATCCAAAGTTGACAAATCTAACTAACATATTCTAAATATGTTCAAAATTCTAACTTATTAAATTCTGCTTTAGAATGTTTTCATATTTTAGTTTTTCAAAAAGACTAAGTAGGAACTATACTCTCATCAGATTGTGTATAAAAGATGTTATTTATCATCTTATTTTTAAACTGGCTGTTAGCTGTGGCTTTGCCCATGTGGATTTTGCAACTTGATAGAATTAACCCTCCCTCGGTACTTCACTAAGATTCTCAATCATTAGTTTTTACTAATTTGGTAAAATTACTGATTTTTGTTTGTTTCAAACTATGGACTAAATTCAAACTATGCACCTAAATTCAAGTTTCAAATATTATGGGATTCCGAGATACAATAAATCTGAGTTCAATTTTTTTTTTTCGAAACATAAATGACATTATCTGAAAATTCTTAAAACATAAATATTAGTGTTTCTCAAACGGGATTCCGGGATCCCGGTTGTTTTTTTAACCCGGGAAACTTTTCTTATCCCGGGAAATCCCATAAATTTCTTAAAAATTCACTTTTTTTCTTATTTTGTGTTAAGGTTAAGAAATTTTGCAAATAAAAAGCATAATTATCTCATTCACTGTCAGAATACATTTGTATTTATTAACTTTAAACCTAATAATTATACCATTTAATTTCAAGATATTTTGTATACCTTAAAAATAATTGATTCTATCCCAGGATCCCGGAAAACAGTTTACTTTTATCCTGGAATCCCAGGATAAGCAAAAGACAGAGAAATGAGAAACCCTAATAAATATTTACTGAAGAATAGAGTTTCAGTTACCCCAGTACCTCTTTGTAAACCACGTTTGTGATACTGCCTTTTGGGGCTAAGACTTTTTAAGCCTTAATCCTCTCCCTCCCCGTGGGGGAATTTCCAAAAATCCCTTCTTAGTGTGCATTTTCTTGACATACCCTAACTGTGTACCAAATTTTACCTCTAGGTTCAGCGGTTTGCTCTGGGCAATGATGAATCAATCAGTCAGTCAGGACATGTAATTTTATATATTTAGATAAATGAAAACATTGATAGAATAAATTAGTATTTATATTTAGACTATTTTTTATAATACTAATTAATCAATAAGACTTTATAAAGATAGTAACCTAAAATGCATGGAAACAAAAAAGAAATACAAACATTAATTCTCATTACAAAACATTATAAATAATACTGATAATAATAAAATATATATTGTGTAAATAAAAAATGAAGTTATCAATGATAAGAATAATATAAACTTTAATTACTTAATAAAATCAATCTTATATATATATATCTTTATTGCATGTTCTGACATGCAATAAAATTGATCCTAAAAATGAACAGTTTAAGTCGAAGAAAGTCTTGTCAGATTGCTATGTCCAGCTTTCACACTGTAGTAGTACAGTATTATACAGTACCAATGGGTCATTCAAGTATTAATTACATCAGTAGTTTATGAGGAAGTGGAATTTGTTTATATCTGACAGTTGCTGACAATGTGTGAGTCTTTGATGACATAAGATTATACCTGTCCATTTTTCTTTCCACTCCCTAAGTGTCTGAAAATAATTCCTGTGTATATGCAAATGGTTTAAATTCTGATCTAATGACATGATTAGGGGATGAGGTACCTTGATTTCTAATGACTAGGTATTATGGGAAGGAGATCAAACAAGGGCAGATTTTTGCTGATGTAATACTTGAATGGCCCCCAACAGATGGCTTTACTGCTCATAATCATATCTCAGGGATATGCCCTGAGATATGATTTTGAGCAGTAAAACCTTATGTAGTGTTGTCTATGCACTAATGGTAAGATATGATCATGAGTTACTATTTATTCTTGTTTATCACTACACCTTTGTTATTGGAGAAGTATAAGAAATGTAGTTTCAGTAATTTTCTAACTTTATGTGCTACTTACAGAATAAATAAATGTATATTTTTTGGAATTTTCAATTTATTTCAAACATTACTTCTAATGAGATTAAAAAAAAGGACATCAGAAATTTTTGGTGGTTTTAAAGACACGATTTTCTTAAAATTCAAATATATTATTACAATTAGCTTCTTGCTGTCTTATTATTAATTAAATTTTATAAATTTCACTGTATTATATTTAAAGACCTTATCAAACAGCTATTTTACCACTTATTGTATTAACCTACAATTACAAAGTTACGCACATCTTTTAGACAAATTAAAAAATGCATTTCAACTAAAATTTATTTTCCTCTTCAGTTAGAATGTTTTGGTCTAAAAGGTTTTTAAAAGCTGTTTAACAAGACACATAAATAACATGACATCCACGTGTTTAAAATATAATTAAATAAACATATAAAGCAAATAGACAATTAACTGTCAACAGCCACCATACATTTAACATTTCTGTTTGATCTATTACATATATGCTCAAATGAACATACAACATGCCATCTGGTGATGTAATGAAATTAAAAGATTAAAATTAGCATGGGTGAAATGTGTAGTCTTGGGGAGATCCTTGTCTCAATTTTTTTTGCTACATACCATAATTCGCATTTATTATATTAGTTTCAGCTATAGATATAATTATCTGCAAATGAATGTGAACTTTTAAACTGTTTAGTACTATTAGTTCAACATGGGCCTGATAACATTCAATCCTTGTCAGTTATCAGTCTTAATCAATGCTATAAATATTAAATTTAGTTGTTTTAATCATTATTTGTTCATAGCACAGTAGTTAAAATTGCTAGCATTTCTTTAATTACGTGCTAGATGAGGGTAGAACTTTAAAAAACAGCTAGCAAACAACATTGGATAGCTTACTATTAATTAATAATTAATAAATCTTTGGACATTTCAAAATATTTTAAATGTTTTGAAATGTCCTTTTAATGTAAGAATCAACAAAAACCAAGAATTTCCACTAAATGTATTCTTATGTACTTATCCTAACTGCTTAATGTTATCTATTGGTTATAAGTATAGATAAGTCCCAAAATAATTACAATAAGTAAATTCCATTGTATTAATTTCATAATTTGATATTTAAACTGAATAGACTAATTATTTTTATCAATGTAATTTCAGATTGAACAAATTTTTTCTACATTGAAATAAGCAAATATTTCCACAATATATTAAGGCCAATTGTAATTAGTTTGGTTATGCAAGCAATCTCCAGCAGAAATCATTAAAATTTTATGCTTTTTCTATGGGAAAATTGCTTTCCAAATTTTCAAAAATAAAAGTAGAGAGAACCAAACAGTTTTTGTGTAAGAATTTTATTTAATTCTTCTATTAATGTAGGATTCAGAATTTAAAAAATTGAATTCTTTAATTTTCTACAATTTTAAAAATTCATAGGAAATTAATGAATTTAATTTTCAGAATTCTGAACAATATGCTAATAGGAATTCAATAGGATTCTACAGCAAAACATTGTTTGGGTCTATCCATTTTTGAGAATTTTTGGAAAAGGATTTCCACATAGAAAAAGCATTAAATTTTTAATACCACTTGCTAGAAATTGTCTGCATAACCAAAGAGCCTTAACATTTTAATATAAATTAAATTTTATTAAATAAAGTTGATTTCATATTTTGATACATTAATTATAATTTTTTAAAAATATTTTTAGCTGCTAAAAAAGATATGGCAAAAGCTGAAACAGAAAGTAAACAAGCCGAGATGAAACTCAAACATGCTGAGACAGAAATAACTAAAAAGCAGACAGAGTCCAAGAAAACAGAAGAAAATTATAAAAAACATTTGGCAGTTTATAATACTTTGGAAAAAGAATTAGATAAAATTAAAGTATATCAATAATTTGAAATTTTATTTTAAGTTACTGAAATTAACAATATGATGTTAAATTTTTAAATTTTATTTAATTTAGAAAGAAATGGAAAAATTAAATTATGAAGAAGGAAAAGAAGAAATGCTACTCTCTGAAAGAAAAAGACTTATCAAAGATATTGATAATCTCAGACAGAAAATTGATTTAAAAGAAGCAAGGTTAGAGTAAAATACATATATATTTTATAGTACATGATAATATCTTGAATTTGAAACTTGTATTGCATCTTTGTGGAAAAAAATTAAGGTTTTTATCATTAAGTAATTTATTATGATTTAACCATTTCCATTCATTAATAATTATTTACAATAGCAGTTATTATTTCAAAACTATGAGGGATGGCTTCTTTAAATTATTTGAATCATTAAATTAGTGCAGTTGAGATTACAAATAATGATCTCTTTATTTCTCTATTTGCCACTGAGACTCAAGTAAACGAGAATTTTTACATTCTGAAAGTTTTATTTATTTATTTGATGCCAATTATATTTTAAATTTAAATATTAAATAAAATATATATATATATAGATAAAAATAAAATATTAGGTCTTGATAACAGAAGATTGAAAACTCATAAAGTAGGTAATAAATTTAGACCATTAGTAGATTTTAAATATTCAATATTTTATAATTTAGTAAAATATATAAACAGTTATTTAAACATGATTCCATGTTCTGAATATATAATAGAGTGTCGTTTATCTGAAAACTGATTAACTGAAAGCATTCCGGTCAGACTGTGTCGTGCTGAATCGGAACGTTTTTGATACTAGATTAACTTCCAAAATATAATGTTTTTGTTTTTATATTTTTCAATATATTTATTTTGTTTGTACAATATAAAGAAATAATTTTTAACGATACAATAGCCATTACAATTATTATTTTAAAAAATTTATGTTTGGCTTAACATTGATGAAAATTCAATGTGAAGCAACATGCAACGGAGAAAAATTTCAACATGGGATAGGTTAATATATTTTTTCGTACATAATCAGTTATCCGAACAACCCCAGTCCCCAATTGATTTGGATAAACGACGCTCTACTGTAGTATGATTCCACGTTCTGAAAGAAGCTAAGATTATAAGACATACATGAAATAATTTTAATTTGAAATGACTGGAAGAGCTCAAAATATACAAATTGTCACTTGAAGGAAAAATACATAAACTATAAAGTCTGAAACTGTCTCACAGGCAAAAATGTTTATTATTGTAGTTATATTTTAGTATGAATGATTTGTCTGATGTTGGAGTTAAATGATAAAACAGAAACAAATCATTCTGTAATACATGTTACTATTTAAACTTTTATGAATTATAGTATAAAAAAAGTAGATCAGTCAGTCAGTATTCATTTTACTTTAAGTATATGAGTTTTGTTTGGTTAACTTCAGCTTTGAATCTCAACTCTATTGGTAAATACATCTATTATAAGTTTGTCTCTGATTATGTGGAGCCTCACTTAATCAAGGCTCGGATAATTGGGGTTTTACTGTATTTTTAATCTGATATGGCTGCTTCGCTTACTGAAAAATTCTCAACAATCAAAATTTACATTAATAAATTAAAAAGGTTTGTATTTTCATGTCAAATTACATCATATAAAAATTATTGTGTTATGAAAATTTTGTAGTAAATTATTTGAATAAGAATTTCTAATATTAGATTTTAATAAATTGTGATTTAAATATTAATTTAACTATTTAAATCAATATATATAAATTTTACTTATAATATTTTTATTAGATTTCCAAATTTGACTTTTGAATATCAAGATCCTGAAAAAAATTTTGATAGAAGAAAAGNCACAGACATTTGTAGCTTACTTTTTACATTTTTAAAGAAATACTGTCAAATTGTACACATTTTAATTGATAATTTCAGTATTATTACAAATGTATTTTTTATGTAAAAAAGTTTATAAATTACCTTCTTCTCAATAACTGGAACAAATTACAAAGCACAATCAACGAAACCTTTAACATTCAGTATGAAATTTAATGTAAAACTTGGCAAATGTTTCTGATAAACAAGATCTGCATCAGGTCAACATTCTATTCCAAATTGGAATGCTCAGAACACAAGTTTTCAAAAATTTTTTAAACATGTTTTTAAATAATTAGAATGTACGATCAAACATATACAAAATTGATGGTATTTTTAAGATTTGTAAAATTAAATCCAATATAAATATAATACATAACATATTGGAATGCTCGGAATACAAGTTTTCAAAAATTTTTTAAACATGTTTTTAAATAATTAGAATGTAAAATCAAACATATACAAAATTGATGGTATTTTTAAGATTTGTAAAATTAAATCCAATATAAATATAATACATAACATATTACAAGAGCATTCCAAGTTGGAATAGAATATTGACCTGATGCAGATCTTGTTTAAGATTGAAAACTTTTGTTAAGTTTTACATTAAATTTTGTTACTGGATGTTAAAGGTTTTGTTGATTGTGCTTTGTAATTTAAGACTTAGAACTATATTACAGAATTGAAATTAATCAATAAAAATCAAATTCATCTAATTATCTAAACATGCACCTTTAAAAATTTCTATTGGATTTTCTAATGTTGACATGAAAAATATTGTTTGTTAACTTTTTAAAATATTTATTGAAAGGTAAGAATTCCTTCTCTATTGGTAACATTATTCTATATTAATAATATATTATCAACTAGCAGATGAGCCCAGCATTGCTCGGGCAAAAAATAACAACAGCAAAGATTACAATTATCAGATTATTCTGTACTTCTAACCATTCTACTATATTATATTATAGTATTTGATTTACAAAAGTTATCTTGCATAAGCGTTTATCACACTGAGTGTCCAATCTAACATATTTAAAAAATTTTTAAATTGTGTTCAGTAGAGGAATAAAGGCTTTTTAAAATATGTTAACATTATAGACAAACGTATATAGATTGATCATTCGGTGTGATAAATTTTTACGTAAGATAATCTTTATAGTTATATAGCTGATCTAACCTGTTTTCATTGGGTGCAAGAATTAGGACTGCTCCTCCGAGGTTCATTAGAAAACTTAGATGAGTCTAAAAATATGCTCGATTTCCCACAGAAATGCAAAAACTGCTTCTAAAACAATAGAGTAGAAGCCAAGTTCTTCAGGGTAATCCTTAAATCTTCTCCCTCTCCTGTGAGAGGAATTTCCAAAAATTTCTTTTTAGTGTGCATTCTCATGATGTACCCAAACTGTGTACCAAATTTAAACTTTCAACTTCTAACCATTTAGGCTCTGTGCTCATTATTATCATCATCATCATCATCATCAACCCATCTTGATTATATTATAGGATTAGGATCAAATTTATGAGAAATTTTTAACCTTACTTGAATAAAATGATTAATTTTCAATTCTAAAATTTAAAAAAACTTGTTTGGAACATTATATTTCGAATTTGGAATGAATTCAAATATTTGTTCGAATTTGTTTATTTTGGATTTATTGTTTTTGGGTTACCCAAAAAGTGGAAATGATTAAAATATTTATTAATTGCCAAAACATATATTATATGTGCCACTATTTATTTTCCTTCTTTATGATTTACACTTCATACTGAATAAAACTCCTTCCTTCCTCCTCTTCCCTTATGGGATGGAATTTCCAAAAATCCCTTTTTAGTGTGCATTCTCATGGCATACCCTACTGAAATGCAATCAGAAATGCAAAAAAACTGCATCTAAAATAGTACAGTAGAACCAGTTCTTCAAGTTAAGCCTTAATCCTCTCCCTCTCCCGCAGGGAGAAATGAAAAATTCCTTTTTAGTGTATGTTCTCATGACGTACCCTAACTGTGTACCGAATTTCAACTTTCAACTCCTAACTGTTTGGGTTCTGTGATTATTATTATTATCATCAACCCATCTCGATTATATAGATTTGGTTTCTGAATTGATTTATAGTATTTTGAATAGCCTTGATTTAAATTAAATCTGCTTGATTAATAAATTTTGAATATTAACTTAAAAATTTATTACAAAAATATTTTTATTTTTAGTTATATAATGTAGTTGTAGATACAGAAATAACAGGAAAGAAACTTTTGGAGAAAGGTAATCTTAAAAGAAGATACACCATTATACCACTTAATAAAATAATGTATAGACCAATAGAAACTGAAGTCGTACGAAAAGCAGAGAAAATTGTAAGTTTTTTGTAGTAATTAATTAAGATTGTGGACAATCCTGAACTTACACAAGAATTCAATTTCTAAGAACATTAAATAAATTCAATTTTATGAAAATTAGAACTTGCTTTCTATATTTCATTATTATGATATTGTGATTTTTGTACTTTTTACTAGAAGACAAGCAGACAACCTTCATAAATTCCAGCAAAATGATTTAATTAGACCTTCTTAATAGGTGAAAAATATTTACATAATTAAATAATTTTGCTGGAATGTATAAAGGTTGTCCGCTTATCTTCTAGTATTTTTATTCCAGTTTATGAAAGTTTTAAATGGTCGTACTTTGTATTTTTTATATAAGATAGACTAATTTATGTATATTAAAAAATTTGAACAAAAATATTAGAAGTGATAATGCTTTGCATAAATCTTCACTGCTACTTACACAAAACATAATTTTTTTTCTATTTTAAGTATTAAGTGAAGTTGAATTTATGTAAGTTGGGGAATGTCTCTTTAGAGTTTTTGATTAAGAAGTATAATTTAATTTTATGTAATGTGTAGGTAGGTAAAGAAAATGTTCATACAGCACTCTCTCTCATTGAATATAATAAATCAGTTGAGGTGGCTATGGGTTATGTTTTTGGTAACACTCTTGTTTGTCCTGATATGAATATTGCCAAAGAAGTTGCATTTGCAGATGGTGTTCGTAAAAGAACGGTAACTTTGGATGGTGAAGTTTTTGATCCTGCTGGAACACTTTCTGGAGGTAACAAATTTTATTTAAAATATTGTTTTTCAATATAAATATTTGCAATAGACATTTTTATGCAATATAACAGTATACAACATACAACTCTTTATATTATTATTTATACAATAATATAAAAATTTAATTTTTATAACATTATTAAAATGCATATAATAAATAATTTTGAAATTAATTTTATATAAAATTGAAAATAAATATATTAATTTTTTTTATAGTGCATTTTTAACTAACTAAAAATTTTCAAACATTTTTTATAACTTATTATTATTTTAAAACAGACTAAAATGAGACTTTTTTAAGTAACCTGTATTTCTGTAATAGTATTTTAAACTAATAAATAATAATTTCCCTGAGCTTTCAGTGTTTTCTAGTGACTTTAACAAACTAAAATGCATTTTTTAAATATTTATATTTAATAACAGATAAGATGTGAAAGACGCTGTCAGTTTTGTTCATTATTGTCGTAATGTTATTTTTAAATAAACAAAAAAACTGTAATGTTTCATAATTTTATTTAACTGGATAAAAATATTATGATCTATTTTCTTGCAGTATGCTCAGGAAAAGTGACAACCAGAATATAAAATAACGGTCTCAGTCTAAGTTCCAAAGGACATAAATAAATTTAATTATTGTAAAGTTTTTGAATAGATTAATGTTAAAATTATTTTAAAACAAAATTGATTACACCTAAGTGTTGAACTTTATTAAAACTTTATAAAATAACATATTTTAAATTAAGAGAACAATTACAATAAGTATATATTAACAAATTTCACTTTTAGCTATACAAGCATAATTTCATTCAATAGACTATAGTATTTTGAAAATTCTACTATAATGTATTGAATAAAGAAGTAATACTTGTATCTCTATGATTGCTTAAACGTAATAAATTAACAGAATGAATCAAATGAATTACATTAATTTATTATTTAGTTATATAAATATTATATAAAATGCCAAGTTACAAGAAACATCTCAAAATATCTTAAGTAAAATGAAATTTGAAAATTCTATTGTTTTCAAGTATCAGTACATCTTTAAGAATCTTAAGAAGAAATAGTTCATTATTGTTATATAATGATGCATTAGCAAAAATCAATACTTTGGTAATTAAACAATAATTTTTAAAATATATAATTAATATAAAAAATTAAAGTAAAAGATTAATCAATATTATAGTTGATAAGAATGATATAACATCATTGTATATTTATAAACAGCTGTTTTTAGTTTGTTTTTACAAAAAACAAAAATCATTTCAATCACTTGGCAAAGAATCTGAATCGTTTAACATTCATAATACTTTTAATTTATCAAGAAGTTTAGCTTTGTACCAATGTACCATTTTGATTTAAGATTTTTTTTATAATGGGGCTTACCAATGTGATTAGGAACATCCTGATATCATGAAAGTATCGATAACCATATCACAAGTAGTTTTGAAATACAGTTGACCCCCCCTATAAGATATAGATACGTTCCAATTTATTAGGAATCCGATTTCTTACAAGTCGTTCCAATCACAGCCCGACACGTGTCAAGTTTACGGACTACGGCTGTTTGAAAGGTTTTCTTCCATAAAATTAATCGATTCTACACTAATCCGACTCAACATTTCCAAAATACGTATATTTTTTCGTAGTTTTATAGGAATCGTAATTATAGGGNATTAAAATGAAATATAAACTACATACAAAATACATGGCGTACTGCCACAACTCTAACTCAAAGCTCCAAGGGACAGGAAAAAACTTTGAGTTACAGGACAATTTGAATTAGAAAACAATTGAGTAAAAAATGATTCTGGCTCAACTGAGCTATTGATCAGCTCAAATCAACTGATACAATATGTTACCAATATTGTATCAGTTAATTTGAAATTTTAATATATTTTCAAGTTTTTCACGTGTTTTCAAGTTTTTCAAAAAATTGGAAAGTTATTTATAAATAATAATCTGAACTCTAAGCATATTGTATATAGATTCTGGAAATGAAATTTGATGTAATAAATTTATTGAGTTTTGGTCATTAATATTTATTTTATCAGTTTATGCTAACCAAAAAAGAGTAAGATTTGGTTTAGGTTTTGGATTGGGCTGGAAAATCCAATTTTGATTGGATCTTGCCTGTATGTGAAAAATGTTACAACACCAGATCCAATACCCAAGGAAAAGTATCGATACTGGTATCGGTATTGCACCAAAAGCATTGAGTACAAAAAGTACTCAGTATTGGGAGTTTCTAAATGTGATCACTATTGACTTCTTAGAGGTTGATGAAAGCTTCAGTGGGGTTTAATGAAGCTTTGCAAATAAATTTTACATATTTTTGTTTTCAAATTTATTAAAATTTACTTAAGAACAAAAATTAATTATTACATTTTTATTCATATATATTATGTTTTAAACATATTACGTAAAGAAACTTCAATATATTTTTATTTTAGGATCAATGCAGAAGTCAAATAGTGTATTGTTACAATTGTCTGAATTGAAAGAAATACAAAATGAATTAAATAATAAACAAAAACAATTGGATGCTATAAATAACCAATTGATGTCAGTGAAAAAAGTAGCTGAAAGGTAATAGTTTTTTCATTATATTGTTTTATATTGATTAAAAATTTTGTTTAAAACATGATTTTCAGTTAAAAGTTTGAATTATGGACTCCAATGCTTTTAAAATTACTTCTTGTTTTGTTTAAATTAACCAAAATAATGTTTTGACCACAATCATTTTATTTCTAAATAGTGGCATTGAAAAGAAAATATTACAAGTTGTAATTGATGTATAGTGCCTTTATTTACTTTTCTACATATAATAAATGCACTTTTTCCATCATTATGAGAGTTTGAAAATTTCTTTGTGTTAGAAATCAATTTTGATTGTTTGTATACAACAAAGAACAACTTGAATGACTGCTTCATAATTTTCATTGTAGCTGCTTCTCAACAAAACTGAACAGGTAATTATATGAAAGAACCAAGTCCAGACAGTATGGCAAATGAGTTTAATTTCTTTTTATCTAGCAGTAATCATGGAACCTAACAGAAACAAACTTTGTGATATCCCAAATTCTTCAACTCTTGCACTGCATAGTGACCATTTCCAAAATAAACTTCTCAATACTTACCTTTTATCTTATTGTGTGAAAATGATCTTAATGAGGAATTCAGTCACTGTATATTGTTAAAAAAGATGTGACAGCTTGTCATTTTCTCGTATTACATAATTTTCATATAGTTGATGAAAGTGATGTCATTTCATATTGCAGAGTGAGATGACAGTTATTATTACCAGTTATATTGCATGTTCTTTCCTTTCCAACAATCCAATCTTTGTACTTCACTTATCAATTTTTTAGCAATGTAAAGAATGTTTGATGACAATTTTGTAATGTGATATTCTTTATTGTGTAAAATTTTCTTTTATATCAATATTATAATTATTAATGCTTTATTGCTGACATATGTTTATAAATGTATATGATTTTTAATCAGCTACTTTGTGAGATGTATTTAGTTTCCCAAGTTATATTGATAATTACAATTCACAAAAGCATTTTAACATGTAATTCTGTTGAAAAAGTAATGTTACAACAAAGTTTGAATAGTTATGTGAACTTTGTTGGCACAGAAAGTATTGTACTTACTGGTTTTACAGAAATAGTATGATTCTCTGTGACATTGCTCAACTATATGTCATAAAACATCCTTCAAACTTCAGTTGTTGAGAACAATGAGTATGCTGAAAATTGTATACCAGTGATGGTTTCATCAGTTTACTTACTTGGTTTTAATTATGACTACATAAACTTACTTTTTGATCAGTCCTGTGTCAAAATGATTTTTTAATTTGTTAACAAAACAATTCATCAAGAATTATTTTTATTTATTAAATTTTTCTGGGATTAAGATAAATTTTGTTTATGTCATAATTTTTTACATCAATTAACATCGTAATTCATTCAAATATCGATATTTAGTTCAATAGTGAAATATTTTAAATTTTTGCAATTTAAAATCTAACTTCTATTTTTAAGTTTTTGTTATGTTTCTTTTAATAAATCTTTGTTAATAAATGTATGTTTGCTGAATACACGAAAAAATGTTTGCAGAATTTTTTCTTTATAAATTTTCATATGCAAGATTTTTCTTAATTTTTTAGTTACCGAAATTTCAAGCAGAAATACGACTTAAAAGAGAGTGAAATGTTGTTAGCAAAGTCACGAGTTGAACAAAGTAGTCATCATCAACAATTAGAAGAACTTCAGAGTTTGAGAAATTCAATAAGTAATAATTAATGGAAGATAATTAAATTACATAAAAAACTTTTTATTTACAAACATTTTTTTTTAAATAGAGGAACAAGAAGAAAAATTATTGCAATGTACTGAAATGAAAAAAAAATGTGAACAAAGAGTTGAAGAACTTCAAAATAAAATAAAAAATGCAAAATCATTAATGGAACAGGAGTTAAAAAATGCTGAAGCAGCCCTTCATAAATGTAAACAAAAATTAGAATATTCCAATAAACTTGCAAAAGAAAAACAACAGGTTTTTAATTACTTTATAATAATGTTTTTTATTAATTGGAATATAATAAATTAGATATTTAAAAATAATTTAACTTACAGGAAGTTGATACTCTGAAACTTGAATCAGAAGAATTAAATAAAAGTTTACAGTTATATCAAGAGCAGCTGAAAACATTTGACAAAGCCATGGCATCTTATGAGAAACAAGCAGTAGAAGCAGAAAATAAATTAAAAGTTGCAAAAGTAAAAATAATTTTATTCTCATAATTTAAAATTTATATTTTTTTACAAAATTATATAATAATAATTATAAATAATGTAATGGTATACAGTGGGTGATCGGGTAACGAACATAATCCGTTCCAAGGCTTTGTTTGCTATCCAAATTGTTCGTTAACCGATTCTCGATTTACCATAGGTTTTAATGGGAATTTAATTAATTCGTTCTGGAGACCGCCAAAAATAAAAAAATATATACTTTCTTACTACATTTATTTATATGTAATAATGAAAATACATACATGCACAGTCTTGCATTTTTACTAGTCATGTTTTTTCCATTTGAAAGGGTTAAAGAATCTATCTAATGTCAATTGCTTTTCTCTCTTCTTCAGGATTTTTTGTAAGTAATTAATAGCATTGCAATTGTAGAAATCCCCAAGCCTCAACCTGGTTTGGATTCCATTCTAAGACCGTTGTTCTGACATCTTCCCACTTCTTCAAAGGATCTTTAATAACAGATATTGGCATTAATTCTCTTTTCCAGAAGAAAACATATCTCTCCAAGTTTCTTGGTGTTCTTCATTCAAGAGTTATTGGTGTTCTTCTGTCGTCAGATCCGTTTCAGGTTCCATTATGAACTCTTTTATGTTCTTTATTTCTCAGATGTGATTTTTGTTACTCCTTTAGCTGCTTGATTATACAGTATTTTTCTTAAATAAGATTGAACTGTGGCCTACTGTAGACCTGTTCACGCCATACTGCCCAGCAACATTAGGCATCTTCTGCCCACTCTCTACCTTTGCTATTATACTCTCATCTTTCGAAAAATTATAACAAGATTGTGGAAGGATGTTTGTCTTTTCTGACTCTTCATGGATAGCAATGCCTGTCCTCACAGAACTGTCCAAGTTGCAGAGGAAGGACATCATACTTGTGGTATGGCATGCCTATTTACTAGACCTGAATCTGATAATACATGCCTAAGACACTCTAGGAAGACATGTTGCACAGAGGAAACCACCACCCTGGACTCTTCAGGACTTTAAAATTGCATTGAAGGTGATAGGGACAACTCCTGCACAAAGAATTCCTGAACAGCATTGTGGAGAGTATGCCCAACAGATGCACATCCTGCATTACTGATTGAAGTGACCTATGCCTTATTGATTAGCCAGATCTGCAGGCATTCATGGATCAGTTAAGATTTAAAGTCATCATATTTTCATATTTTGAAGATACTCTTCTGTTCTTTGTTGTTCTGTTTCTTTTTGTGGTGGGGAATCCCAGCCATATCTTGTCAATAAAGTTAGCATGATTTCTGCACTTATATATAGTATCTTGGTGTATCTAGTTTGGTGTTTACACATGTATTTGTTCTCTAACATTTTTCCAGCAGTGTACAATAAAGTTTTGTAAATAACTAGTAATTACTATAGAAAGTGCATTTGAAGAATATAAAAGAACAAAGGCTTGTTTTATATATATTAATGTCACAGTGTACTTTTCTATTTTAGGATAAATGGATTTGTTCTAATAGGAGATTTTAACTTTTGTAAATTAAAATAACAGAAAATCTTTTTTTTATTAGTTTTTCCCTGTTTTAGAAAGATATTTATAATGAACTTTACCAAAAATAAATTGTATGTCTTTATATAAGATCAATATTAAGAAAACCTGAAGAATTACATTATACTGTGAAATCTGGAACAGTTTACAATAAAACAGACTCTTAACATTAATGATAAATAAAAATTATTAAATATAACTGTACTTCATCTCTTAATACTGTATGAAAAAATGTTATTTTATTATCATTCTGAATATTGAAAAATTAAAACTAACATTTCTTGCAAACTGTTGTATAATTTAATAACATTAAATAATATTTTGATAGGAAACTGTTGCCAAATTTTCAACTAAAGTAAAAGAACAAAAGGCTCACCTTAAAGCCCAAAATGAGGAAGTCGGTCGATTACAAAAAAATAAAGAACAATTAGGAAAAGATATTGAGGAGAAAAAATTATATATACAACAACTGGAACATGATATTGCACGAACAACAAAAGAATCCAAAGAAGCTGCACAAAACGTTAGAAATTAAATTTATAATTTTTATTGTGGAATTTATCCTGTATGTTTAATAAAAATAAATAAATATTTTAGGTAGAAAATATGATTAAATTGCATGATTGGATTGAACAAGAAAAACAGTATTTTGGCATGCCAAATACTGAATATGATTTTAATACAAATGATCCAAAAGATGCAGGAAGACGAATTCAAAAATTGAAAGAAAATAAAGAAAAATTAGAAAAAAATGTTAATATGAGAGCTCACAATATGATGAATAAAGCAGAAGAACAGGTATAAAAAATTCAGTTTTACTTTTATAANAAAAAGCAATTTTTTGCCTATTATGAACAGATTTCTACATCATTATAAGAAATAGAAAAGTTTGGATAAAAGTGCAATTAAAGTAACAGAAAATTTATCACTGTTAGATACATTCAGTTTTATTTACTATCAAATACATAATTAAATGATTGTAGGGAAATCTGAAATAATTATCTCAAATTATCTATCAAACAATGAAATATTGAATATTTTGAAAACTTTTTGGAAATTGAGATCGCTACTTTACACAAATTAAATGCATTATTACATAATAGACAAATTCTACGAATGCCGAAAATAAAAATCCAATTACATTAAGATGAATATCCCAAATTGCTTTCTGCCTATAAATATCCTCTATAAACATCGATGGTACTACATTCAATATTCCACGAAATAAAAGAAATCGATTGTTTGGAATTGTGTTCCGTTTAGATAAATGATATTTTAAAAGATCATCTTTTAAAATATAAATGTAAAATTCATTATTCTTTTGAAAGTACCAAGATTTACTCCAAAAGAAGCAAATAGTTGAAAATGATAAAGCAAAAATAGCTGCAGTAATTAAGGAATTAGATGAAAAGAAAAATGAAGCATTAAAAGAAGCCTGTGAAAAAGTAAACAAAGTAAGTTAATTATGTAATATATTAAAATCACTAATTTTTATTATAATAAATTAGAATTTTACAACTAAAACTGAGAGAAATGCTTTAATGGAGTATATACAAACAACATTTACACAGCTTTCAAGTACTTTTAAGTTATCTAACTCATCTGCAGGAAAACAAAAACAAACAAGAAAGCTGTGTAATGTTGTTTATGTATACTCCATTAATGCATTTCTCTTATAGTTATTTTTTATACTATAATGAACAACATTCTTTATTTTTGGAAGGATTTTGGATCAATTTTTTCTATGCTGCTTCCTGGTACCAAAGCTAAACTCATTCCTCCTGAAGGAATGTCAGTATTGGATGGTTTAGAAGTTAAAGTTGCATTTGGAGATGTTTGGAAAGAATCTCTTTCAGAACTTAGTGGAGGACAGAGGTAACTTTTTAGTTTTTATATTATTTAGAAAATACATGTTTTTGATATGTATTAAAATTAGTGATGTAACGAATATTCGGTTACTATTCGGTATTCGGCCTATTTTTCGCTATTCGGCCGAATACTGAATATTTAATCACTATTTGGCCGAATATTGAATACCTAAAAGCAGGAGTAAGAAATAACAAAAACACAGTAAATTAATCATTTTGGTATTTAGATTTAATGTTATTGGGTTAGTGTTGTTTGTTTATATTTATTTATAACTTATAACATGCACAAAATAAAAAAAAATAATATTAGTCACACGTATTTACAGTTTATAATTACAAATATCAGCACACGTACTGTACACACCTATTCATTCGAGAATCGTCGCACACATCTGAGGGTCTGACCCTGCCTATCCTTTTTAAGTGCTCGTCTTTACTCTTTCCTTTCTCTTTCCTCTATCTCTCTAGTCCACGTATGCCTATGAATACATCATAATACGCGCTCACGATACTTTCGATTCTCACTTTTCCATCGTAGTTTTTCCATTTTATAATTACGTCACTCATAGCCTGGTGATAACGGAGAAAAGAGAAGAGATATGTCGGTATATGTCACAGTTATGATTTCATAGATTCCGGACAGCTTGATAGCCCGAACGGTCCCAGGCTTTCGCCCGTGCACGCTAAGTGACTTTCATTACAAGCATTTAGCTTTCCGAAGTCTATGACAACAATTGTTTGGCATTGACGACTGCAAATTTCGTGCCAATAAGCTGCTTCAACTTGTGTTGCTTATGCTATCAACTCAATTTCATATTTATTTTCACATTTTCACTTCGTGTCTTTCTCTGTTCTTTTTCCGTTATTTACACGTGTAGGTCATTTCATTGTTGTTCACATTTGATATCATTTATCACTTACTGTCATGACGCTCTTTTCTGTCTGCTACAACTGTCAAGAATTAACACGATTGGCGAAGCGTAGTGACAGCGGGCCAATGGAGAGCAGGGTCCTTGCCATAATGCGGTTTGCGCGCCAATTTTCGTATGTGCGTTAATCGAGCCAAATAGTTTGGCCAAATATTCGGTATTTGGCCTGAGGCCGAATATACTATTGCAACACTAATTAAAATATTTTAAATGATATATTGCATTTGCACAAATTTAAAACAAATTCTAATTCTATAAATTAGAATTTGTTCCATTAATAAATAAAAATTGTTTTTGTTATATAGTTATTTTGAAATAACTTGTTATACGTGGGAACAATTCACATATATAACTAATTATTTGAAAACTAATTAGTATTTGTTGTATATATGTGTTAATAATTTGCAAAAGATATAAAACAAAAGATTGAATGGAAAAAATAAGGTATATTTGGGAAATTATTGTGATGAGTACAGAATCTTTGTAGCTGGGTTAGTCATGAATAGAAATGGTTTTTACTATTTCTATTTGAGTTTACTTGTTTTTCAGATTGGATTGATGGAATAAGGCAATGCAGTACATGAGTGATCTCATGAGTTTCCAGAAGGACTTTCATAAGAAATTTCTATTTGGATGTTAGTCACATGAAGAAAACCCAAAAAACTTCACATGACCATGGTGAGGTGCAAACTCATGATTAACTACCACCATTCAGTGGTTTTATCACTCATTTTTTTGTTCACTGTTAATAAACGATCCCTTTCTGGTCATCGTTGTAATAACAGAATTAACATTCATGTGCTGCATTCATTCATAACAGAATGCTGGGCTGCAATTTTTAATCCATTTATTCTAATTTAAATGGCTATTATTTCAACTGGACAGGTGCACTTTCAATGAGATAGACTTTATTTGTATTAGTAAAAAGTGGAGGTCATCAATGCAAGATGTGAGGGTTTACCGAAGTGCAGATATTAAGCTCAAACTTCATAATCAAAGGCATCTCATGCTAAAAAGACCATTTGCGATAGAAAAATTAAATTATCCATCATCGTTGAAGCATTTACTCTGGAGTTGCACAATCACTTTGCTCTACTTGGAGAGATGGCAGATATAGAAGATCTCTGGGGAAACCTCAGAGACATTACCACGAAATGTACCCAAAACATCATTGGATCCAAGATTGCATATGGAAACTATTCAATGAGAAGAAAGCTGCAAAACTTAAAAGGGACCAGGCTAAAACAATGACTGAGGAAGAAAGCCAAAGATATGCCTAGTTGGATAGATGTGTAAAGAAAAGTTTTCTGAAAGACAGAAAGTCATGGTTAGAACAAAAGGGCACTGAAGCACAGGAGGCTTCTGATTGGAATGACTCCAAAACCCTGTACTGTATAGTCAATGAACTGACTAGGATGAGGAGCAATTCCTGCGTTTCAATAAAAGATAAGAAAGGGAAGCTTCTGATCGCTCAAGATGAGCAGAACAGGAGGTAAATGGAACATTTCCGGGAAACATTTAATCAAATGGAACCGGCCGTCACATATGATTTTGATATTGAGGATACACGGGATGAGCTTTGGGTGGACAATGGTGATATTACCTTTGAAGAAGTGGAGTTTGCAATTAAGAGCCTAAAAAATAATAGGGCAGCCAGTTTGGATGAAATTACAGCTGAGATTTTCAAGCAAGGAGGGCAGCCCATGTTGGACAAGTTAATGCTATTGTTTAACAGATGCTGGCAACGTGGGGAAGTCCCAGAGGATTAAAGAAGGGGTGCTATAGTCAAAATTCCTAAGAGAGGAGATGTCTCTGAGTGTACCAACTGATGAGGTATCACCCTCCTTTCTGTGCCTGGAAAGGCATTTTGTATGGTCCTCCTTTGACATTGTGGACTGCCCTCGATCAGCGCTTGCAGGAGGAGCAAGCTTGGGTTTTGCTGCGGAAGATCTTCTCTTTTTGAAATATCATCAATGTGTTGAGTGTCGACACTTGTTGGCCATCAATTTCATTATTTCAGGAAGGCTTTTGACACAGTTCACCGCGAGTTCCTCTGGTGGAACTTGTGACTTTATGGTGTACTGGTAAACTTTGTCACCATTTTCAAGACCTTATATTTGCATTCAAGTTGTTGCATCAAGACTGAGGGTGGCCACATGGACCTATTTAAAATTACAACAGGGGTCAGGCAGCGTTGTGTCCCCTTTTTTCTTGCTGTCCTCAATTATATTGTGTAACAGACAATGAGCCCAGTGCACATATTGGTGGCAGCTTCCACTGGTCTAACCAGGATCGTCTTAGATATTTGGTTTTTACTGATGATATTGCCCTATTGGAGGAAAATACAATGCTACAGCATGCCATGGCCACATTGGGCTGTGAGGCAGACAAAATTGGCTTCAGGATAAACGCTGCAAAGTCAAATTATGCATGTGAGTAATACTGCCCAAATGCGGGGAGTAATGGTCAGAGCACAATTGAAGGAGATGGAGAGTTTTACTTACTTGGGTAGTGTTATTTCCCAGAATGGTGATGTGGAAGTGGATGTGAGGTGCTACATTGGAAAGGTAGCATAACAATCATCTTTCAGTGGATGAACAAGATCTGGTCCTCACCATCCATCTCTTTGAGAACCAAATTCTCCTTATTCACCTCCATCGTTATCCCGATAGCTGTTTATGCTAACCTCCATCGTTATCCCGATAGCTGTTTATGCTAGTGGTTGGTTGGGGTTTTTTGGCGCAAGGGCCACTTAGGCCAAGTTGGGCCGTATTTATGCTAGTGAGTCCTGGAAGACATCAGGAAACATCAATAGAAGGCTCTATGTCTTCCAACAGAGATGCTTATGTCAAATCCTAAAGATCCGATATTTAGATCATATCACCAATGAAGAGGTCCTCCAAAGGAGTGAGATGTGCAAACTTCATAACATTGTCACCCGTAGAAGAGTCCGACTAGCTGGCCACATTTTTTGTATGGAGAATAATAGTATCCCTAAGACAGCTATGAAATGGGTTCCCCCTAGTGCCAAACAACCGCATGAATGCCCTAGGAATATTTGGCATAGAACTTTTCTTCAAGATTTGAAGATGCTCAATGTGACGTGGGAAGAAGCTGAAGCCCTCACCCAGGATCAAAATCGATGGATGATAATTGCTGCTCGGTATGCTATTTAGCATTGGAGGAACTACTATTTATTTCAAATAACATTTGATGTTAGTTATAAAAAAATAAAGTAATTAATAATATATTTGCATTAATCTCTAAAAAAATTTTCAGGTCATTAGTTGCTCTATCCTTGATTTTATCAATGCTGTTATTTAAGCCTGCTCCAATTTATATTTTGGATGAAGTGGATGCTGCTCTTGATTTATCTCATACGCAAAATATTGGACAAATAATCAGAACATACTTTAAGCATTCTCAGGTAAATTCATTTTATTAAATTAATGAAAAAATATTATAACAAAATTAATACAAACAATTTGATAAGTGAACATAAGATTTGAAATATATATATATATTGATGATAACTGAAATCAATCTTTTAAGAGAGAAAAAGAAATAAAGAATATATTTTTAAATGTTAACAATATTTTATGAATAAATTGTTATTAATAACATTGAGATATTTTATTTTATATATTTCAAAATACTTTTTTTTTCCTCAGTTTATCATTGTTTCGTTAAAGGACGGCATGTTCAATAATGCTAATGTCCTCTTTAAAACCAAATTCATTGATGGGACATCAACGGTAACTCGTTACGCTCAGGGTAAAAATAATCCATCTACTTCTAGGTCCAAGTAAAACTATCTGTAATTATTCAAACATTTTTATGTAAGAAATTTAATTATAAATGTTTGCTTTTATAAGTTAAATAAAAATTTACTTATTAATTTGTTTGCTTTTTCTGCATTCCATCCTCTTTGTTTTAAGGGACCATTTACAGCAGAAGTATATTTTTGTAAAAAATTTAAACCCATTTTCTTTGCATTCTCTATTGATAATGGATAAGTATCTTCTTGTGTTGTATGCTTTGCATACCAATGGCACATTTCTCCTCCATACATCAAAGCTAACATATGACAGTCACTAAAAATACCTAAAATATAATTAACATTAGAATAAGAGAATTCATCTACTGTATTTATGACAGAAAGAAGTATTTTTACCTTTTTCAAGCAGATTAAGAACATCCAAATTGCAATAAAGTGTGTTTTTATCTTTTACAACAGGTTGTCTAAGTGAAAGTAATAATCCTAGATAAGTAATTCCCTTATAAAGCAGCTATAAATATAAATCTAATTTTAGATTGATGATATTTAACTTGAAATGTGCTGAAATTTATAATTTACAAATTTATTATAAATAAGTAACAACAAACTGACTTTATGTAATGAGCATAATAGATATCTTTTCATATCATCTTAAGTTATTTATCATCAGAACTTTCAACCTGTGATTTTGAAAAAGGTGATATCATAGCCAAAATTTTCTTAATTTTATGGAATTCTCTAGTGCAAGGTGTACAAAAATGGTAAAATAAATTGTTAAATATGCTGTAAGATTATTTCATCAAATCTGTTTTGAACTTTTGATCATTTTGCATTCATTTACTAACATAATACAGTGTAGAACAACAATTCCCAAATATAAGATTGAAGTCCCATGTGAGGTCAACAATTCTTACACAGTTGCATAAACAATCTTCAAAAATATAGACAACACTTGATTGAAGATTGACAATTAACAACAACAAAAAGATCAAAGGTTTTGATTTACATATGTATGTATGTAAACAGATTATCCAAAGAAACAATAATTATAAGAAAAAGGAATTATGTTGCTGAATTTTTAAAATACGGATTTCCATATAAGGAAGTTAATGCCAAGCATTTATCATTTTGTATAATGTATAGCAAAAGAAAATCAGCAGCATTGTCACCATCTAGGTCAGACAGAAATTTGAGAAAATTAACTTAAGTAGCCATTCACAATGGTCAAATAAATATTAAGTTGTAATGTAAAACCATCCAAATTGCTATATTAAAACATTGAAAAAAATTGTTTTCTTTTTTGTATCTAGAGAAAATGGAAAAATAGTTATGTTAAAACCCTATCTTGACAATAGAAAAATTATCATTTTTAATAGCCAAATTGGCAACGTTGGATGTTCAACAAATTGCCTGTCAAAGGTCGATTTCAGTTATGACATCTACCATTGTCACATTGGAAAAAGCTGTTTATGATAATGCCATAATTGTTTTTATTTTACTGTAGAGGAAAATACAAAATTTATTTTAATAATAAAATTTTTTCAACGTGTAAAAGGAAAAATTATTTTAATAATTTGAATCAAACGAAATGAATATATAGGGTGATTATAAAGTCTCTCTCCATTTTTGTGAAAATGGTTACAAAATCATTTGTATGTAGGTCATGTGAAACATGCTGATCCAAGAAGAGAGAATTGCTGTTGGGCATGTTTTAGTGGATTAATATACATGTAAATACAGACAAACTTAACCCAGAAATTCAGGAAGTCTGTTCCTATCAAAATTTTAAAATAAAAAATTTTTTAAACTATATTAATTTAGAGTTTTTAAAATTTTGTAGGTTCATGAATACATCAATATTTTGGAATATTTATGTTTGTTTTGTTTAATAATAAACAATACTCATAAAATAAGGATTATATTATCATAGTTATGTTAAATTATGCAAATATTTGAAATAATATATCAAATTGAATTTATATGAAAGTTTAGTTATAGGTTACAAGAAAATGATGACTAAAAATACAGGTATACCTCGCCTTACATCGGTAATTGGTTCCAGGAGAGGTGACATAAGTCGAATTTACTTGTCTCCGAATCTACTTGTCACTAGGCTAAACCATAAATTACCATTCCCGGTTCTGTATTTTATTTANAGTTGTTGACATTTTTAATAGCAAGCATTTTGTAGAAAAATCTGATTACTTCGTCAGACAATCAGAAAAATCTGGAAACAAAACACACAATTTCTTACCATTTAAAATTGAAATTTCATTTTAATCTCGTTATTTGTCATTTGCATGCAATGTCGCAAAATATTTTTCTAGCTTATACATATACATAGTTTTGTACTGTACATTCATTTTATTAATTTAATAATGTAATATGAAATTAATAAAGTACCAAATATTGGCAAATTAAAAAAAAGTATGTATTATTTACTATTGATGGTTCAGCTCCAGTCTAAATTCTGGAAATTTCACAGTTATTCAAGGAAAAATTGTTTCCCTATGACTTATACCAGGGATAGTCAGCCTTTTTATACTACTGCCCACTTTTGTATCTTTGCTGGTAATAAAATTTTCTAACCTCCCACTGGTTCTGCAGTAAGTTAATTTAGTGCAACTGCAAAGTACTCGTAATTTTTGAGTGGCGGTTTAGTAAAAATATGTAGTTAAATTTATCTTTTTATTTATATTTTTGCATACGTTTATAATACACAGAAATTTTTTTTGCCAGTGCACTAAGTGTTCTTTTTACGTCAAACTGAAAAAGTAGCTAAATCTGACAATGCCGACCCCACCACGAAAAAAGCTCAACTCGAGTGATGGCCACAACCTGCTTCGTCAGTGAGTCATAGATGCGCGGTGATAACGGAAAGTAGCTTTGGCATCGGACAAAACCCATACCGACCACCACGAAAACGCAAATCACCCACTAGTGGGCAGTAGGGACCAGGTTGACTACCACTGACTTATACTAAGACAGTTGTTGTTTATATTGTTATAATTTAGATAATAATTAATGGGGAAAATGTAGAAATAAGAAAAAAATATGATTAACGGAATGTACAGCTGACAGTTTTTAATCATTTATTTGCAATAAAAAGACAATAAAATTAATTCTAAGAATTATTTACTGATTGACAAAATTTTAATTTTTTAATCTTTAAATTGAAAATTAAATTGCATTGAAACATATTTTACGAGTCTTTAGCATAAAATTAAATATCGCTTAAAAATTAATCTTGCAAGCTTATTAAAATAATTTCCATAATATGTTCACTCGTGTTGATAAAAAAAAATTGGATGAAATTCTGCGTACGGTAAGAGAAAAATTGGTTATGTTAAATACATTTAAAACTTAAGTTATTATTTTAAAAATATAATTGATTATTCATACACTTCTTAAAATAAAGAAATAATAATATTTATCAACACAAAAAAGCTGAAATTTGTGACAATTTGTATTTTCTCTGGAAGATTATTACACAAATGGATCAAAATTATTACAGTTAACAGTTAACTTTATGTAGATGTTACAATCAGATAATTAGTTGATGCAATCGAAACAAATTAATTACTTTAAAGTTTAGTTAAAATTATTGCATATAATAATAACAACTCAATAATTAGTCTTGTGATATGTAAATTATCATACCTTGACTAGTTGCTGAAAATTGGTTACAGATAAAGGCTCTTCTGATTGTCTTGAATATAATTGCATAAGTTTGGAATATGAAGATTGCAAGTTCTCTTCTCCTACACAAATAGAAATTCTATATATAAAAGTGTATAATAAATATAGTGCACTTATTTTCTCCATAACAATGATATTTCTCTAAAGTTAGATGGTAATAACAATTTCATTTTGTAAAATTATGATAAATATACCTGCAGGTTTATAAATACAATAGTCTAGTTTGATATATCTTAATCAAAAGATGACTTCATAATTCCTTTTTATGATAATATTTTACCGTTTATCATTAAATTGAATATAATTTTAAGAAAATTTTCACTTTTGGAGACCCTCAAAAATGGGGTAAAGTTTAAAATTCCACGTAGACTAATTTCGGAGGGTTCCGAAATTAAAACGCTTTTGAAGGGTCACGCGTAGACCGCCGTTCCCGTTTTGCTCCTCCAGATACGGTCTACAGCTCCGATAAGGTCCCAACCGTCTCATTCAGAAGTTACGAGACATTTGGGACCTTATCAATAGTAATATCGACGAATCTATCGATACAACTAAGAGACCGCTAAATGCAATGAACTAGAACATTATTTAATGAACAAATAGCTTTAAAAAATATTTCCATAAATATAATTCATATATAATAAAATATAACCAAATCTAAAAGCTTCAGATAATCAGAAACAAAGAAAATAAATGTGCTGTATAGGAATAACTATCAATCATTCAAAAATAATTAGGCAAATGTTATAAAAATTTAATATTAGTCCTAGGAGTCCGATACTATCAATAATTTGAATAAAGAACCCGAGTTAAGTCTGTTCGACGGTAAGAAAGCCGAATTTCAAATATTAAACTCTCCGAGCCATGTAATCCTCGACTTTAAACCAACAACCGACACTAATTATTCATAACATTGAAAAATTAATCTACCATTTAGTTAGTTCTACCGCACATCCGAACCGACGGTCGGGGCATTAATGCACGGCTGCTCCAGAGACCCTAGGATCGGATCCGGGCGGTCGAACAACCCAGGGAATTTTTCGGGGGCAGCCAGTCCAAATACGTTGGACCCCGTTCCTCGCCACCCGGTCACTCCGGTCACTGGAACTCCCGTCGGATACATTAAGAGATTGTCTCGGCACCCACAGGGCAGGAAGAGTAAAATATGAAAATTAAAAATCCAAATCCAAGCATGGAACAACACGAAACCTAGCATTGTAATCCGGACCGATGTGTGATTTTATTATTAATAAATAATATTTAACTTTATCTGTAGTATATTTCATAGAGACAGTAAGAATGAATGGTTATTTTACCGTAGGAAATTGATTATATATTTATTTATTTATGAAAAATCTGTGACAATAGAAAAT